TCATGTCATATGGCTCATATCTTTCTCATGTAGTCACATAGCACATACTTCTCATATCATTACATTTAAAAGCATGTTAACACATATAATCATGCATACATACAATTCATGTCATTCATATACGTATAATTATATATTCATACATTCTAATATAGGAAATAGACTTGTCGCAAGTCTTGTTTCCATTTAGCACCATAGACTAACTAATATGCACTCACCTGGGCCTCACTAAGTTCCAATCCACTTTTATGATTCCTTTCTTTCGATCGAATCTTAACTTGATAATCGTTCCAGAACTTGTTCGTGCTCGATATCTATATAATCATATATTGATACATATCAGTATCCAATTAATATACTTTAATCTATCATTTCTTAGAATGAAAGAAAGATTTATTCCATTTCCCATTGAAGTGCATCGATACATTCTATAGTGTATCGATGCATCCTTTAACATGTGCATCGATGTACTACCCATGCATCGATGTACTACCCATGCATCGATACACCAATCACCTTTGATGTTTTCATTTTAAGGGGGTTCATCGATGCACTCCTTATGCATTGATGCACTAATTGCATTCGATATTTCTTCTTTAAAGAGTGCATCGATACACCTTGCCCAGAATTTGCATTTTAAGCCCGAAAACCATCAACTTTTCACTCAATTGTTCTATTTTAAGCCCCTATCATGTCATTAAACTCAACTACCATTACTTAAACCAACTTATATCCATATAAACCATCTTTATCTTCCATATCTCATCATGATTCTTAAAATTTAAGAATCTTACTAAACTTTCAACTTTGTTATTAATCCTTTCTAACTTCATAAATCTCTTATTCTTATTGATGGCAAGTCAAATTCAACTTTCAATTCTTATTATAAACTCTATTTCAATATTTCACTCAAGAACTCCAAATCTTTAATCTTCCTTAACTCCTTTATCTTTTGATTTTGAGATAACTTAAGCTTTCCTTAAGCTTATTTATCATCTAATGATCATAACCCAACCTTAAATTTAACCATAAATTATCTAAATAGAAGACTCACATTTTGTTCAAGCTTTCACGTATGAAGAAGGAAGAAGGAAGAAGAGAAGAGAAGAGAACTCTGGAACCTTTTCTCTCTTCCCACGTGGTTTCCTTATCTTATAAGGGAAAATAAAAATCTTTCTTGTCAAATGACCATTTTACCCTTTACTTCATTTAATAATTACCAATAATCCCTCAAAAATATTTACAAATAAGTCCATACATTTACAATCTTTTGAAATCATACTTCAAAGTTACAAAAATTCCATTTTAGTCACTCACCCTGATTTTGGGATATTACATGGGGAAGGATTAGCACCCGCACATCACCCAAAATTAGTACTTAAATCGCTAACATTTTCGTAAATGGTGGAAAATATAAATCGAATATAAAATTAGAATATGATCAATTTATTAAAGTTTAATTAATTTGCTTCGAATTGATTAATTAGAGAAAATTCTTTAACTTGAAAAGAAATCTCGAGATTAGCAATCCTCCGTCGGGAAATCTATCTCACCTATTTCTTATCTGTAAAGAATATTCCCTACCCGATTTAAAAATGTGAATCGAATATAAAACAAATATCGACAATTTCAAAAAAAACATAAATTACTATTTAAATAAAAATGCATTTGCATTATTTGAATAAATAAAAAAAATTAATTAGAAAATAAACGAGATATATTTCAAGTTCTCATTTCGTTAGAATGCCATATCGGATCGCATCACTTCAACCAAGTGATGCTTTCTAGGTTCATTCTACAAATCGAGTTCTTGAAAGTATTCAAATATCTCATCAATAAATAAAATATACAAATGGAAACAAATGCAGTTGAAAATATACAAAATAAAATATTTACATTAAATAGAACTAATAATATTTATTTAATACAATACAAAGAACTACAATGCTTAAAAAAGTATTCATACATAAAGGACTAAAATAAAAACAAGCAAACATTACAAACCAAAATAAAATACAAAAAATAAGCACTTAAGGGACCAAAATATGATTAACAAAAATTTAAAAGGTTGAAGAGTAAATGGATAAAAAACAAGATCCACCATCAGATACAATAAATAATATGGGTATCAGAAATGAAAATAACCCAAAAATATTATTAAGGACCAAAATAAGCTTAACCAGAAACATGAAAGTGAAAATAATAATTAAGCCAAATGTAACGCAGTGACTAAAATGAAAGATTTACAAATGTTGTGGCCAACTTTGAACATCGAAGAAAATATCATAACACAGGAAATCAGTGACTAAAATGAAATAATCGCAAACATTGTAACCAGAGTCAAATATAAGATAAAATAATATGATACATAGGATTGTGACTTAAATGTAAATGTGAGAAATTAAATGCCTGAAAAGAAATAATACAAAGCTTTGATTAATGGCCAAAATAAATTGATACAAACGACTAGGGGCCTAAAATGCTATTAGCCCATGCGCGAAAATATGCTGAGACCCCACGACGTCGTTTTACACTTAATATATATAATCACATAAGTCAAAATCACAACCCTTCTTCATTTGCTTCCTTTCTTAAACAGAGAGGAGAGAGAGAGAGCCATCAGAACTCTCTTATCGGAGAGAGAGGAAACCTTGTCCTCCGACGGAGTTCACAGAAAAACTCACGGTGGCCAATGGCGGTCGGAGGAAGCAAACTACCCAAAAACTCTCCTAAGTCTCCCTTAGTCTGAATCTTAAACCATATTTGCCTAAAGTACAGGCTGGACCCTTAGATCTGATGATTTACCTTTCGTAAAAAAATGAACAACGGCGACTCTTGGGCTCTCCAAACTGCTAACCGAGGTACGTTACTCTCCTTCACTTTGGTATCTTCTTTTTCGGTTGTTGGTTCTCTTAGATTTTTCCTCTCGATTTTTTTAAATCTGCTTTGGGTTATTTTTTCTTTTGTTTTCTTCTTTTTCTCTTACTCCAAATGCCTTTTTTTCCTTTTGTATTGATTGCGTTTTATTTTATGGTGAAGATTTCTGTTTCCAAAGACATAGGGTTTAAGTGCCCTAGATTAATAGTCCTGATTTCTTTGGGATTTCTTTTGATTTGATATGATATTTATGGTATTTTCTCTGTTGATTGATATGTTATCATTGTAGGTACGACTCGAGGATGACGACGACACACGCGGCTAAGGAGTAGGGTGGTGAAGCCTCGCGAGCCGATGGGAGCTGAAGAGTCAGCTGCAGTTGAGCTGATGTTAGGGGATTAGGGTGGAAACCCTAATCTATTTAGGGTTATTGAGTTGGGCCGATTTGGGTTGGGTTGAGTATATTGGGCCCGGTGTTTGGGTCATCGGGTTTACTGAGTGGGTTAATTATTGTATCTAGGCTTGGGCTTGGGTGTTGGTTCTTGTAAACTAGGCTTAAACCGGTGGGATTGGTCTTGTATTTGGGGTGTTGGGTTACTTGTAACTTGGGCCTTTGGATGGACTGGTTGGCCTGCAAAAAAATGAATGTAAATATATTAAATAACAATAATAATAATAATTTTTTTTCAAGACCCGAACAAAAATAGGTGCCTACAAATATTATATGAACTTATACATTGCTATTAAATCATTTTATATTATATGATCATTCACATTTCAATAAGGAACAAATAAATAACTTTAAATGTTTTAAAAGTAAATACAATCACATCGGGCCTGGTTGGAAAAATGATATATTGTAAATAGATTTGACTGAGTTTTTTTATTTTTACTAAGAATTTGGTAATATAGAGTAAAGGAGAAACTATATTTTAACTATGGTGTTTATTACAATTCCTGGTAAAAGATGCTTACATCACATGGAGGCTTATAGAGGACATTTAAATTACACGATGATTTTTGAAAAACATATGAATTACACGATCATTTTTAAACGTCTTTTTAGAAGATGTCTAGATCATACGATGATTTATGAAAGATAATGAATCACACGACCAAATATCATACCTTTTGTGCAAATACATATAAGGGGCGTTTGGTTCAAGGATTGTGAGAATCCCACGTTCCCATGTTTGGTTGGTCGGGAATCTCATTCCCGGTAATGTTTTATTACCAATAGTAGATTTTTTGGGGTATATTACCGGGAATGTCATTACCTCCCTTCCCTTAGGTATTGTAATATTACCGGCTTTTTGGACTAAAATGCCCTTAAATTTTTTTTTCTTCAAAAATATCCTTATTCTGTCATTGAATAATAAAAATTCTACGAAAGTTAAATTACAAATTTATCCTTAAATTATTTTAGATTTCCAAAAAAAAGCTATAATTAAAATTTTATATGAAGTTCAGGGGTTAAAATTTTTTTTACCCTTTCATTAAACCTTTTTTATATTTTTAATTTTGTATAAAAAATTATATAAATATTATGAATTTATTTTTTTAAAGAAAATATATAAATATTTTACAATTTGTAATATTATACAAATATATAATAAGGATAATTTGGTCAAATATACATTCCAATAATTTTTTATTCCTTTAACCAAACACGGTAATCTTACATTCCTACTAAAACCAACCAAACACAAAATACAATATTCACAGTAATCCTATTCCCTGGTGATCTTTTATTCTCACTGGTAATCTTAGATTCCGTGAACCAAACGCACCCTAAGAGTTATCTCGTGATTTAAACGTAATCTAAAAATTATTATGTATATAGATTTAAATATCGAGTTTTTGATTAATTGATATTATTACGACTATATACTAAATAATTTTAGATAATATTATTATTAAATAATTAAAAATTATCTTTAAATAGATATTATATTACACTTACAATATATTATTAAAAAATTTGTGTAATATAAACTTCTTGTACTGAATTATTAATAGATATCCTAATTAAAAAATTGTGTAATATAATGAATTTCTAGAATGCATCAGAAAGTAGCTTATTCTCGTATAAGGTGACACACCCGAACCCAACCCAGCTTTTATCTATCTCCAGCTTTCTTCCTCTTCCTTTTGCTTGCTTTTGAACATTTTAGTTCTTTGGGCGGTGCATTTATGATAAAAACCAGTGGAATAAGAAGGAAATATTTTTTTTTTGGAAAAAAACAGTTATTTGTTGTTAAATCTTTCAAAAGATGGAAAGTTTTCAGACCATTATCGTCATTACAACACATCTGATGATGCTACTGAGTTCACCAGCTTCAGCAGCAGACAGTATCGCCGCCGCTTCGAATGCCACATCCTCAAAGTACCAGATCGAGTGCACCATGTGTTCCTCGTGCGAAAATCCATGTCAGCAAGTCCCGTCGAAGCCGCCACCGCCTCCGTCGCCGCCACCGCCTGCGGTTCCCAACCCTAACTACTGCCCTCCACCACCTTCTCCACCCAGTTCTAGCGGAGGTGGAAACTACTACTACTCTCCACCTCCGCCATCCCAATCCAGCGGCGGAAACGACTACTACGCTCCACCTCCACCAAGTGGCGGCGGCATCGGCGGCACGTATTACCCTCCGCCCACGTACAAAAACTACCCGACGCCGCCGCCTCCGAATCCTATCGTCCCTTACTTCCCTTTCTACTACCACATTCCGCCGCCGCCGTCAGGGGCTCAGAATTTGTCGGCGTATTGGATTTCCACCTTGATTTCTGTTCTGGGTCTTTTCCTCTTCTTCTTTTAGATATTAAAAACTAGATGGAAAATAATGTGGCAGATTGACAGATCTGAGGAAAATTTTCTGCAGCTGAGAGAAAATGGAAGAAAATATGAGCAAAGAAGGCATTTGCAAAGGATGAAGAACATGGGGTAATAATCTTTCTTTTCTCTCTTCTATTTTCTTTTTCATGCTGTAGATTGATTATGTAATTTGGTTCTTATGATTAACTTTTTGTATCTATTTTTGGTTCAATTAGTGTTAATTGCAAACTAATAAGGACACCAAGTTAATTATACCCTATCCTCTTCAGTTTACTGATGTTCTAATAATTTAATTATTTTTAGGATTTTTTAATTTAATCCATCTGTTATTATTTCTTGTTGTTTGTTTGATTTAGGGTTATCAATTGAGTTTTAATTATTACATTAAGTGAATAAAATTTTAGAAATTAAAACAGAGGAGTTGAATTAAATAATTAAATAGTTTCAGGGACTAAGATCGAAATTAAGTCTTTCTTCTTAGCTTTTGAGCGGTGGCATTCAATGAACGGGCTTACCTTCCTTTTCCATAATCCCATGTGAAAAAGTGGGCTGTCCACTCTTTGTTTTTTATGTTTCAAGGCTATTTTATGGAAATAATACACATTTTAAATTTATTTAGATAAATAACATTTTAATAATTATTTAAGAAAATAACATCAAAAAGTTGTGGTTTAGTAAGACACGTCATTATTAACGTGACAAAGATTTACGTCATCAGTTATCAAAATGAAGCAATATTAAAAAATATACAAATTTTATTTAAAAATACATATCGATATCTCGAAATTAACATATTTTAGTCATGTGATTTTCAAATCTCATATTACATAATTGATAATTATGAGTCTATATAATTATGAGTCGTTTCAACTTTTAAGTGTTTAAATATAACATTTTAAATATGTATTAATTGAGTGATTAATATAATATCAATGTACGTGTGTCATCATCGTTTTTGTGCTAGCACAAATACGTGTATTCAACATGTATTACAAATAAATATAGAATTCTCATAATAACTTAATGTTCTAATGTATTTTGAAAAAATAAGTTAGTATTTTCGAATAAAAAATTGTAAGGGAGTGAAGTGAGTTTATATCCACTTGAATTTCCCATGTCCAAAATTTATACATTTTCTTAGTATATAGAATTATAGATGGATGGCCTTACATATGAACACTAGGGATTTAAACTGTAATTATGGTTATGTTTTTAATTGCGTCGTAGTTGCAGACATATCAAATATTATCATAGTTATACAATAACGGTTTCGGACATTATCGTTGAAATGTACATGTACGGGGGAGTTATCTTAGTATGGAGGGAACAAGGTGGGAGACAATGAACCAAAATATTGACAATATTATGTGGGAATGAAAGTGAGAATTCCAAAGGCAATTAATTAGCTGGATGGCACGTATATGGGGTCCAAACCCTTTAGCCTAAAGGGTATCCTATGGACATTGACAGATGGATGCCCATAGAATTTGGCTGCTTTTGCATAACAACTTTTTTGTCTAATCCTGACTTCAATCCTTATATTTTTCACACATTTGAATTTTAGTCTCTCAATTTTTAATGTCGATAAACTAAGTTTTCTACTTTTTTTTTGGTATAACTATCGGTATCCGATCTATTGATCGACTAATCTGAATCGGGTATTGTAGAGGCAAGGGCGAACGTCCCAACCCAGTTTACTCTATTTGCAATTGCCAAAATTTGAACCCTTGAATTTACTTAAGGGATCTAGTGTCTCATCTCACTATATCAACTGGTTGTTGGTAGTTTTCTACTATTTTTAATGCAACAGTAAATGCTTCAATTATTGATTCTAGTATTTTATAACCCTAGATTCAAAATTTTTTATTTGCTTATATAGCCTTTCACACATGTAATATTGGCAAAGTTGTCACATTTTTAATTTAAAAATACCACAATCTATTTTAACAAAAATCCTTTTACGATGTTATCAATCGAATTCAAATACCAGATAAAAAATACATGGACCCGATTGATTAAAACTAGATAGATTAAATTTCAAATGTGTGAAGAGTACAAGGACTATAAGCGTCATTAGACCAAATTATATTTCAATCAATCTTTGCATTTCATGAAAAACAAGAATAGATTGAAGACTCAATGCCTAAGAACTACAATTTTGACCACTTTTTCCCCTTTGGAAATGCAGTGGAACTCTCACAATATGCAGTAGTAATACAATGTCCTAAAGTTGTCTAGTTCTTAATGCCCTCCAATTTTGCTTGGAGAGAAATAGAATGCTTCAGATCTCCAATATGTAAACTATGTGCACCCATCGGGATCCTTCGAATCCCGAATTCATCGACGATGCTAAGGTGCTCGCATGCATGAATGTCGATATGGACTCGTTGTACCGATCCGGCAGTGACGTGAACTCTACGAAAACCTATCAATTGCTTGTCCAGGGACCATTTTACAGTGGAGGGTGGTTCAGAGAAAACGAGCAAAGTGTGAGTTCCGTCCATATCGCCGGTGTTTTCGACGTCGAATTGGAGGGGTAACGATGGTGAGTCACATTTGGCATGTTTCACCCTGATGGCATTGGTTGATAATGTTGTGTAGTTTTTCGTGGCAAAGAGATTGGTGTTAATAAGCACTGGGAGCTCAGTTGGAGCAATGGCTAAAGATTGTTTAAAGTGTGTATAGCTCAGGCCGTGACCGAACGGAAACACGACCGGTCCTTTGTAGAACCGATAGGTTCTTCCGGGATAGCCTCTGGATGGTCGCATTCCCATGTTCGTCATCGGCACTTTAGCTATGTATGATTGCGGATACCATGTCATTGGCAACTTCCCCCCTGTGAAATACCATCGAAACAGCTCGGAAAAAGTTTGAAAACTCGACATCGAACAAGTGAACCAAATTGAATAAATCTTGATCAAGTTACCTGGATTTGTTGTTCCAAATAAAACATCTGCAATTGCTGCTCCTCCAGCTTGACCCGGATAACCAGCCCATAAAATGGCGCTTATTCGACGATTGTTCTTGGCGACCGAGACGTCGATCGGGCCACCTGACATTAAAACCAAAACTGTAGGGCCCCTGGAGGCTCGAGCTACCCTGGAAACCAGCTCTTGCTGGTGTCCTGGCAAGAGCAGCCCTTCCCTGTCCCTAAATTCCGCTTCCACTGATTGGTCGAGCCCCATCACAAGCACTGTTGCATCGGCCTGACGAGCAGCAGCTTCCGCAGCTCCGAACAGATTGTTTGCATTACAACCAACGTTTGAACAGCCTGCCTGATGAATAGTCCTCGCATATCTCGAAATGCCTTGCAAGGGACTCGTGTAACCGCATGCCACTCCTGCATCAGACATGTTTTTATATCCGATAATTGTACTCGAATCCAAGTAATATAGACTAAGAACACGAGCAGTTTACCAGCATAGTTTCCTATCATTGTTTCAGTGACATCGGAATTGGGTCCGATAACAGCAATGGTCCGATGATGCGAAGTGGACAACGGCAAATGTCCGGAGTTCTTTAGCAAAACTATGCCCTGTCTAGCAGCCTCGAGAGCAAGTTGTTTATGAGCTGGCGTGCATACATGTTTCGGACCCAAATGTCCGTACGGTTGAGCCGATGGCTCGCCGTCAAACATGCCGAGCCTCATTTGGACCGTCAAGGTGTTGGCTAGAGCCATGTCAACATCAGCCTCGGCTAACAAGCCCCTCCTTATTGCCTGGTCCGTATAGACTGCCAAAAATGGCCCGCAATCCAAATCCAAACCTGCAAACCGAATATCCGAGACCGTAAAAAATCAAATAACGGGTCGGTTCGGATCGAATCCCGGTATTTTCAAGTTGCGTCTGACCTGCTTTGATGGTAGCTGCAGCAGACTCTTCTGGTGTAGCAGTGAAATGCTGAGTGTCATACATTACACCAACTGAATCACAATCTGATACAATGTACCTAATGGAACCAACACAAAAACAATGAAAAAACATCAGATAACCTTAAATGCCTCAAACAAGGATTTTTCGGATTAAATTGATCGGAACGAACCCATTGAGGTGCCATTCGCCTCGAATCGTGCCCTTGAGTAGGGCCGGATCAGCACAAGTCGGCTTGCCATTCACTTGATTGTAAGAACACATCACACTAGCAACTTTCCCTTCCACCACACAAGCTTTGAATGGCACACCATATGTATCCACCAGGTCTTGCTTACTAACCTGCATAAAGCGTTACAAATGTCGATATTCAAATCTCGATTCGAACTCGAATTCAAGCGTGGGCTTCAAACACCGAACATAATAGGACGATCTCGATTACCCTGGCATTGAAATGGTATCGGTCCACGCCCTTCCAATTATCAAGATCATAAGCCGTGTAGTGTTTGCAGCAGGCAGCGACTTTTAGGCTGTTCCCGACAGCGCTTTGGAGGCCCCGGACATAGCTGGCGGCATATTTACCGGCAAGAACCGGGTCTTCGCCGGGAGTTTCTTGGCCCCGACCCCATCGTGGGTCACGGAATATGTTCACGTTAGGACTCCAATATGTCAAACCAGCCATTCCTCCATTGTACATTGCTCTTGCTTCATCTGAAACCACCTGCAATCATCCCAACAGTACAACATAATAATATTAACGTAAAATTACCATTGTTAATTAATTTAGTTTTGGTCTAACTCTAAATATTCAAGTTTATATTACACAAATCAATTAACACCTAAATCCATTTTTCAAACCGATTCAAAGCAATCCTGAGTAGGAAAAATTATTATTTTGATCTCTTTATTTGAATAGAATGATGAAGAGGTCTATAATATCTAGGAATGAGCATGGGACTTGAATTATTTTTTTAAAAAAATTCATGTTCGGATTGGGTCAGATTTTATCTCAAAAAGTTGGATCGAGTTAAGATTAGGTGGAAGATATAAAATTTTCGGGTCCAACCCGTGTCCATCCCTAATCTTATCTCGAAATATGATTTTATTAAAAATTGTAAAAAATCGTAAATTAAAATGAATCTAAATAATATTTTAAGTTCATAATAGAAATGGGCATGTGAAATAATTAAATCTGATTTCTTAAAAAATATATTTATTAATTATAAAACTTGTATTTATTATATTATATTTTTTAGGTTGAAACTTGGGAAAGCTAAGCAAATTAATTCGTTTGCAAGTTGGCCTCCAAGAATGCTACACCAACTCTTTGAAGTCACTTCCAATCACCCACCGTTATATTAGTTTCTACTTTCTACAATGCTAGTTGCTAGCTAAGCTAATTTTACTATTTTTTTTGTAATTAATAACCATAATGGTTTATTTTCCACCCATTATTTTACTATTTTTTGATGTTATAATTGTTGGTTTTGAAAACTTTTTTCATTAGATTGTAATTTATAGCCAAAATAGATATGAATAAACCTTATCAAATATTGAAATGAAAGCTTACCAATTCAAGAATAATTATTAAATTTCATGATTTCTGGCATTTTTCACGTAACCACTTATATTCAATTTATTGACCGGATAATTTTGATCGAAAACTTTGGAATTGTTGGGATGATTTTCTCAACTTATTATTTTCATTCACAATATTATACTATGAATCATTAATCTTACTTAAGAGATCTAACATCTCATCTTATTCGAACAATCATTAATTAATTATATATGTAATATTTTATTTGTAATGTTAACTATTTAATTTAACTGATATCGTAAATAGGATTAACGTAACAAATACAAAATTGTAATAAATTTTTAAAAGCTTCCTCAAGAGCATAACTTTTTACTTTTCTAAATTAAATATGAATGAGATAAAGTTAATTTTGTGTTGTTTTTATTCTATTTTTATCCAAAGTTATGGGCATACGAGTTAAAGAATTAAACTAACAAAGTGGCAATATGTTCTTTTTTTTCATCTAATAAAATAAACCACTTCCCAGCACGGTCTAAAAAGTAAACATTCAAAACGAATTCGAATTTTATTTAATTAATTTATATTATCTTTATAAATAAATGATATCCGATGATTTTAGATATGTGTAAAATTTTACCTCTCCGATTTGCACCCACAACGATTCGTTGAACGAGGCTGCGGTGGTGATGACCTGAGGGAAGCTAGTGGCACTGGGGAATGAACCGCCGAACTTGGTCCCCGGACCGACATTGGACACCCCGTGGAGAGCCTCGGACCACCACTCGTACCCCTGAATCCCGAGCCTCGGCATGGCTATCGCATTGTTAACCAAAAGCCTGGTCTTCTCTTGCAACGTCAACCTCCCCAACAAGTCCCTAACCCTCACGTGAATCGGCAAATTCGTCTGGCAGAACCGCAAACTCCTCGTGGCCGCATTTCTCGGATCGCATGCAAACGGAGGTCGACGAGACTCCGTCGAAGAAATGGAGAGGAAGGCAAGGAGAAGAAGTTGGAGAAGTGTTAGTCTTTTAGACATCTTTGAAACTTGGAAAGCTTGTTTTGGTGTGTGATGGCTTAAAGCCGTTATATATACAGTGGGAAAGAAACGTTAAAACAATTTTTTTTTATAAAAATAGTATATATATTTATAATTAAATTTTAATAAAAATACTATTTTGTTCATAATATATATTTTATAATTTTTATAATTTTAAAATGTATTTTATTCATGACCGATTTATACGTACCATACGTAATACCAAGACTCTTAAACAGAGCTACTGCGGCTTTAAAGGAAAAAGGAAGTGATTGAAAGGTCTAATTTTGATATTAGTTCCTTTATTATGATTAATTTTAAGACTTCATCTCTATATTTTAATTTAATATAATTTGACCCTCTCTAGTTTTATAACGTTGGTAGTAGTTCAAATTTTGGACACTATCGTTAAGATAATTTCCCCCCGTAAAATAACGATAGATATTTAACTGATAAGTAAATTTATAATTGATTATGCATGATTGATTAATTTTTTATGTGATTTTATATTTATAGTAAGAATCAAATAATCGCTTTAGCAGCTACAACTAATGTCTTTACCAAATTGGATCTACCGATAACACTATAATAGTGAAAGGATCAAATCATATCAAATTAAAGAAGAGGGACTAAGATCATAATTATATAAAATTAGAACTAGTATAATGTTGAAGAAGTTGAAATTATAGTGGGGTCACGGACCAAAGAATCTTTCTTTTTCCGCTATTAGTCACGTTAACCACTCATTAAACAGAAGTGTATGGGTTCTACTTTCTTGCTTATGGTCAATAAAATATAAGGTACTTTATAGTACATGCGTTGGTTCAAGTGGTAAGTAACTTGATATTGTTTAAATAAGATTTTCAGTTCGAGTCCTTACGTATGCAGAAAATCCTTGCTAAGAGATACACCCACTAAAATCAGGTGTGCAATGCGAGTCGATCCGGATTAATCAAGTTAAAACCTTGCAACAAGGAGGTCAACAAAAAATATAAGGTAATTTATAGGAATAATTATCATGGATTAGGGTTTAAATATTTTATAAATTGTATTAAAATCTTGTTAAAATTTGAAGATTTTATTAACTTTGGGAATTCATGTTCGAGTTCGATCACTTGTAAATTATGTGAAAGTTTTTTCATTTAAGTCATTTCATGAATAAAAGAAGGAAGGTACATGGAGAGTGGGAAGAATTTGTGTCTCTCTCAATGATCTAATAGTATTTTAGGTCATTAGTTATTTAAATTTAAGTAAAATTAGAATTTTTATTTTTAAAATTTTTAGATTAAATATATAATGAGTCATTATTTTAAACTTAAATAATTTATTTTTTAAATATTTGATCCTAACTTAGTCCCTATATATATAAATTTTATCTAAATTCATTTATTTTGATCAATATTCTATCACATATAGATTATTTCTAAATTTATTTTAACTCAAATTGAATTATATTCTTATTATTAATTTCCCATGCTCTGTAGGAGTTTGTCTTATATTTTTAGCATAGGGTAAAATAAAGGAAGATGCCTTATGAGAGAGGGAACGCGTCTGAAAGTCTGTAAACATTTTTTTAATTAATTTTTAACTACATTTTCAACCCTTTATAGTATATATTAGAGTAAATTATGCATTTAGTACCTAAATTATCAGTTTTGATCCGTTTTAGTATCTTAACTTTCAAATTTTTTTAAAATCATAACACTTAGTTTTTATTTCGTTTTAGTAGCTCGTCATTAAAAATTAACGGGTGATTTACACATGACACATTTTTATGGATAAATTGCATCATTCATCACTCAACTGTCTTCTCAATCCTATTTTGATCACTAACGCTTATTTTATAATTTAATTACTTAACTTTTAATTTTCTCCTAATTTAATCACTCAAACTTTCAAATTTATTTTTTATTTTTTAGTTATATATTAATAAAATAATAATAAAAATATCATGTCACAAAAATTATTAATAAAACAAATTATAATATTAAAATAGGAGCAATTTGAAAGTTGAGTAGTTGAATTGAAATTTTGGAACTTTAGTACTAAAATAGGAGCGAGTAGTTAAATTAGAGTGATCAAACTAGGAATAATTTGAAAGTTGAGTAGTTAAATTGAAATTTTTGAACTTTAGTACTAGGAGTGAAAGATAGTTGAGTGATGAATGATGTAATTTACCCATAAAAAATGCATTGGCGTTAAGTTTCTAAGAGATATTAAAATGAAACAAAAACTTAACGTTATCAAAATAGATTAAAACTGATAGTTTAGGCACTAATCATAGGTATAGAAGCAGTAAAGTATTAGCTTTTCTAAACTATTTTTTTTATATAAACCGCATATAATTTATCTTAAATTAGATATGAAAATGACATTAGTGTATAATTAAAGATATTTTCTACATTTCGTGTATAAAAAATCTCTGACTTTTACAGAAGGATCTAAAGAAAAATTTCATGCAATTGTATTTGGATTGGTCTAATATATTTAGGGCTTAGAGGGTTTTATTTTCTAGGATAATTAATTTAATTAATGATTTTTTTAAATTATTACTGACACCAAGATATAAGATTGGTCATTTTATTCGAACTCGATGAATTTTGGCTCCACTCAACTCTATAGTATTGATTTTTCTTTTTGAAAGTTCAGATTCAAGTGAATGTTGAGTTTTGTGAAAGATAATGTTGAAGAATCGTGCAAAGATAACGAAAGAACACAAGAATTTTAACGAGGTTCGGCAATGTGCTTACGTCTTCGGTGCCTAGGCGGCGCTAGAAGTTTTATTCAATATCTCATACTGGTATATTTATGAGTCATACCTATCAGATAAGTATAGTCAGGTCGGATTTTAGGAAGGATGGGATGATTTCGAGTTTAAGGTGAAAAATCTTTTATTCAATCGACTTAAAATAATAATATAATTTTCCTCTATATATTTAGGGATAATTGCTATAATACTCCACTTTCTCTAATTTTTTAAAATTAGATCCTTTTAAAAAACATGAATTTTTTTTATACTGGTGTCAAGTTTGATCGGATATAAATTTTTATCTTAAAATTCAAACCGAATTAAATCTACTTAAATTTAAACCAAATCAGATCAAATTTCAAGTAAAATAATATACTTATAGAATCAGATCAGATTGACTATAAACCTAATCCAACCCAATCTATCACCATATCCTAAGAAAATTATAAAATTAAAATTTTTATCACCAATCCATCGATAATTATTTTTTATACATACATACATATAATATAATATAGAAAAATGATAAAATGAAAAAAATATGGGTTATCCCTTGTGGGCCCATAAAATTGGAGAATATATGGTATATAATAAAATCAAATTTAACAATTAATAATAAAGAAAATGGAAGAAGCTTCATTCCAAAAAGGATATCTTATTTATCAAATTACCTGGTGGTTGTGAAAAAGACATGATACCAATTACAGAACCTATACCTACCTCACTCACATGCTCTATGACAGAGTGACTTAAGTTAAATTATGAATTTTGGATAGGGACCAGAGTGAAAATTTTCCAATTAACAAAGGACTGAAAATGATTAAACTGTGGGGGTTTAAATAGGTAACTGTTCCATTTAGCCAGGGAGGCAAGGTTTGTTGTGTCGAATTTAAGACCAAACCCTTTTAGTTTTACATTAATGGATTGTTTTGTTGTTTTCTTTCCATTTAAGGCCATGGTATGGAGCCATAAGGGATGATCCATTCACAATTGAATCTAGGGCAAACTACAAATTTAGTACCTAAATATCATATTTGGTCCGTTTTAGTAACTAAACTTTCAATTTGTTTTTCAAAATTTAAAGTTAAATTTTGAACGGGGAATTAAAATGAAACAAAAACTAAACTTTTGGCATGATATTGGAAAAATTTAAAGTTATGTACTAAAATGAGATAAATCTAATAATTTCAATACTAAATGTATAATTTATCCTTGAATCTAACAAACATGGCTTCCTACCGACATCGTCCATTTAGATTACAAATATAGAAATTTGAATACATATTATACCAATGAAATCAATTTAATATGCATTCGACAAATTATGATTCAACTCAATTTTATAAGATCGAGTTTTGTGAAAGATGAGATCATATTAGATTTAGAGTAAAAAATAACCGACTCGAATAGAAAATAATAATATAATTAAATTTTATATATTTAGGAATAATTAGTATATTACTATTTATATATATATAATTAGATTTTTATATTATTGAATAAAAATATTCATTTTTTATATTCGAGTGAAATTTCAGGTCGAAAAACTTGTCTAAATCCCTAGTCACACACATGTTTTTGTTAAACACTTGTGATATTTCACTTTTTGGACTGTTGAACATATGAGAGAATGAGGTCATTTCTACGAGAAAACTTACATAAAGGGCCACCAAATTTGAAAAATTATAACCAAACATTTACATTTGTGCATGTTTGTAGAATTTGTTGAACTTTAAAGTTGAAAGAAAATTCATATTCTTTGCATTAATCGAGTTTCTCATTTAACGTACAAATATTCATAATGTTATTGTCATAAGATTTTAAAACAAAAGTCATAAGATTTTAACAAATCGTCACGCATAAAAACTCACATTTTTTAAAAAAAAATTGGGTAAACTATAAAAGAGGTCAATTAATTACGATCGATGATTTAATCGTTGAACTTTCAAAAAATATAAATACTCATTAAATTATTGCCAGAGGGATCGGGCAGTTCTGCAATTTCTTAAAATGTGAATCATGGTTTCATCAGCCGCATCACAAAGAAAGCAGGCTGGACTTTGACTAAGGCCCCGAATACATCTGTTACGGTTTGTGTGAGTCTTGTCTCGAAAAGATATCCAGAGGAAACTACGTAAACGCTTCGGGACCTTGAGTTTCCATATCAAACACCAGCAAGGATCCATTTCATTCCAGGAAGGACGAGAGATGGCCGAATATGCACTCTTGATTGAGAAAAAAATGCTTGGGTTCTTCA